AATTACAGCGAGTAATAACCATTTCCAGTGAACAGATGTTGCTTGTTTTTTGTTAATTAAACTCATATTTACGTATATCTCGAAAATAAATGTTCAGATTTATTATATAATATATATATAGACAAAACATGACATCATATTCTTATTATTTTCAGTATTAGAAATATTAAAAACTTCTTTTATTTGAAATTCCGCTTTAGTTGGTAATGACATTTCTGTTTGTTTTTAGGTTCATGATCAGACCATTTTAAAACAAAACACAATAGTCGATGGAATGTGGAGGGTTATACTTATGAATAAAAAAGTTTACTACACTTATAATTAATTTAAGGGTTCACTTTTTCTGCAGTTACTGCATATAAGTTATTTGCAGTAACCTCAATACGACATCGTTTTGGGACGGAAATCATAGTATTTTTATAATTTTTATTTATTTCAGAGTTATTATAGTCTTTATAATTATAATTTTTTAATATTTCAATATCAAAACTACGTCGTTTTGGAAATAAATGCAGATAACTTATATGCAGCAGAAATAATTTTTTGTTAATTTAATTACTATTAGATTGAAATTAAATTTAATGGTTCACAATCAATCTTTATAAATCTAATTACCACTCTTGATTCTTTCTCACCTTCTCTCATCGTTTGACAACTCTCTCTCTCTCTCGGTCTTCCATATTTCATATAAAAAACTGATAAATTTGTCTCTCGCATTTTCTTAAAATTGCAGGTTTGTTCTTTTTCTATTTCCTTATTAGAAAAAAAAATACTCCCCACTGTATATGAAAATTATAGATGGAGGTGTAGATTTATCAAATTGTTATTGTAAAACTCCGGGAGTTATGACCTGATATTGGAAAATCAATGAGCAGATTTTGGGGTTTTGACAAAAAAAAAGCAAATTTTAAAAAAATTTATTCTTGACCAAATGTTTTATCGGACTAATGCAGGAAGACACGTTTCAGGTGGTTACGCGTTTAGTCGCGCACCTGACACATGCCTGTTTTTGACAAATCTGAACACGTCTAGGTACGTGTCTAAACACGTCGTTACCAGGTGCACGTTTCTGACTGTGACGCGACATGCGTGCCTGAATATGACACATCTTGGTATTGTGCTCATCAGACTTGTCAGAAACACACACCTGGTACAGACGTGTTCAGACACGTACCTGGTACAGACGTGTTCAGATTTATCAGAAACGCGCTTGTGTCAGTTGCGCGACTAAACGCGTAACTACCTGAAACGTGTCTTTCTGCATTAGTCCGGTAAAACATTTAGTCAACGAACTAAGGTGAATTTTTTTAAAATTTGCATTTTTTTGGTCAAAACCCGCCGATTTTAACTTCATTGATTCAACAATTGTGATGATCGATCATTGCTTCAACAATTGTTTTCAGTATGATTCCACTGTTCATTCATATTTTAATATTACAATGAACCAAAGAGTCTCTAGAAATAATAAAACTATAATAAATAAGTTTGTTTTAACTTAATAAATGTATTTGTGTTTTCCTTAAATATAGTTTTTGTGCAAAACAATTCTCGATGAATACCTGTGTTCTTTGCTTCATTTTCTTTCTACGCTTTAGTAAATTCATATATTGGTGAGGTATCGTAAAAACGAAATGAAAAAATAATGGATTCAGCAAGAGAGCGTTGAAAACCCTATAAAAAAAAGGGAAGAAATCAGGGAATTGAGAGCAATGCGCGCAAGAGCTTCGGGTGAGGTCGCGAGAGAGGGTGGAGCATACTTGTTAAAATCTCGATTTATCACTATGATTTTATGTTTTTACGATTTTTTTTTATCAAAATAATTTTACCAATATTTCAAATGCTTTTACATTTTTACAATTTTTTAATCCCCTTCTGATTTTACTTAAAATCTCAATTTTAACAATCTTGACGCAGAGAGAGTTATCATACGATGAGAGAATGTGAGAGAGAATTAGGTTTATAATGATTGATTGTGAGCCACTAGATTCAATTATAATCTAATAGTAATTAAGTTGGTTATACGGGTGGTAAATTTTTTTAGTGGTAAGTATAATCATCCCATAGTTGATGGAAACTTTGTCATTTGTGTAATCTTTTAGTTATTTTTTTATTTATTAAAAAGAGCTGTTATGGACCTACATGAGAGACCCATATTCTAGAAAGCTTGAGAAAAGGTTATGGAAAGAGGAAAAAAAATTAAGACAAATACAGGAAAGCTCCAATCAAGGATGCTAATCCTAATGTGACAGCTATGAACCTGGACATGGGCCCCTATAAGAGCGCTTAAGGATCCAGAATTTCACTCCCAACAGGTAAACTCTATAAATAAGAGGTAAAATCTACATGTATCAGTACATTTTCTCTCTACTATTATGTTGTTACTGTACACATAACACTCCTTTGACTAGCATTATTACTCCTAGTATACAATGATCTTCTATAGTCAAAGGCATTTACCCGGGAGAGCATCTAGATTCAAGATAAATATATTAGTCTTGGACTAGACATCTCTGTCTTTATGAAAGAACAAGATAAATGTCATACGTATAAGTATATAATTTTAAAAGTAAATGAAAAATTGATTTGAAAAGACTTAGGGGTACATTTGATTAGGATTTTAAAACACTTTTTTGAGATAAAAAATCTCATAGATTTTAAAAAATCATTTAGAATTGGAGGAACTTTAAATACCTTTTTAAAAGACTTTTTCTACAATCAAGATTTCATAAGATTGGATTTTAATATAATTTATAAGATTTGAAAGGACAATATGGATTTATAAGATTTTAAAAACTCATATGAATTTTTAACAAACATTCAAAATTAAAAGAGTTAATAAAAAAAATAACAAAGAAATGCAATGATATTAATAAAAAAATAAAATCTAATATAATTTTCTCAATCAGTAAAACATAACATAATTTTTAGCAAACATTCAAAATTACTAAGCAATAGCTCTTAACATATCTAAAGCTATACTAGTCCTCCACGCATTAGCATTTTCTCATTCCTGCTCTTGGATTTGACCAAGTGGTTAAAAATTATCTTTGTCATTTGGTATTAGAGCTATGCATATATGATTATAAGACTCAATTTATTTTTTTTATTAAAATAATTTTAAATTTTCATATAGAACCTAAAGTTCTTGATATAATTTTGTTTGGAATTTTTTATAAATGATCTTGAAAACCTTGGGGGTTTTGTTCTACGTGATGAGAGTTTTCTAACCATATATTATAAGCATGTTTTTATTGAGTATTCTAATTGAATTTGAATTTTTGGGTTTTATTATATAAAAGTTTAGAAAATTTCTCAAATTATTTTCAATCGATACGTTGAAACCTTGAATTGCTTTAGGGCTTTTGAAAAACAAGTTTTTAAATATCTATTGACACAAAAATTATTTGAAATCATTTCCTATAGCGAAGGAATTTCGTTCATGAATGTATTTTTATGAAATATAGGATTCATATTATGAAAGTTTCAATCTTTCTTTAAATCGATATTGTTTCATTGATGTAAACCGAAAATTAGTTTGAGAGTTTTAGTTCCCCTATTGTTTTCTTATTATTTTATGTTGTTTTTAATATAAATATCACACCTTTTTGTGTTAAGAAAAATCACAACCCATAGCTTGAAAAATTATTTTTTAAACTTCCAAAAGCTCTAAAAAATCGCTTAAAAATGTGCTATTTTTGAGATGGACAATATTATAATGTTGTTGATTTGTTGTTTCTGGGTTGTTTTGTGATAAAAATCGCTCAAAAATATGCTATTTTTGAGCTTTGACGAAACTCCGATTTCGAATGGGTCAACCAGCCAAAGGAAGAAGAAGACACTGCAATAGAGAAATTTTAAGAAATCCTTAGGGTTAGAGTGAGATTGTTTGAGAGACATCCTATTTATATTTCTCACTAAAAAGTCTCACAAAATTTACACCAGTAGAAAATCCATTAAAATAATCAGATTTTTTAATACCACAAAACTGTTTTTCCTTTGTTTAAAATCCTGATTGAATATCAACGAATTTGGATAGACTCTAAAATAATCTTTTAAAATCTTAATCGAATAACACATGACATTATTTCAATCATTTAAAATTCTAATTGAATACCAAAAGAGTTTTTATCCAAAAAAAAATCCATTAAAATCTTTTGAAATCGCAAAGTAATTGTAATTGTTAAGAATTAATGAAAAACGGGATTTATTTTCCAAAAAAAAAAAAAAAAAGTGTGAGTAGTAGAATTCATTTGTAATTGCATGAATGTTTTTTTACAAATTTAAATTCAATTTTAATAATCCTACAGTGCATTATAAACAATATAATATTCTACACTCTTATAGATAAAGATGTGTAAAATAACCAAAAAACTGAACCGAACCGAGCCGCCCCTTAAAAAAACCGATTTTTAAAAATCAGTTCATGAATCGAACAGGTTTTTAAAGAACCAGTTCATGAACCGAACCGATTTTAAGAATCAATTTAAGAACCGAACCATTTTCAAACCGAACCAAATTTGATTTTTATAACTTTATTTTTTAAATTTTAAATTTTTTTTTTTTCAAAAGAGGGTCGACCCGAATCGGTTCCGAACTGAACCGAACCGTTTTCAACTGAACCGAATCACTCTCGAACCGAATCATTTAAACCAATTCAATTCAATTTTTCAAAAATTCCGGTTTAATTCGATGCATGCACGTCTCTACTTATATATAAGCAAGTTCGCAATCGAAAACTGAAAAGGACAGATCGCTAGCTGAGTCTTAACAAAGATTATTGTGGATTCCTAATGACCCAAAAAGTAAAAAGACTTTTAATGGAAGGGCGAAAGTAGCATAAACGTGTGAGAACCTTGACACGTGCGACATCTACATTATTTATTAGGCACAGCGACGTCCTTGCCAACGTACCTGTCACATTTAATATACCACCTTCCACCTCACTCTTCTATACATATATTCATCATGATAATATTAATATATAACGTTGTTTTTAATTAGAGAAGCATATTAAAAAAACTACATACAAATATACAATACAAGTCCAGGCCCTTAAGTTATTTGTCTGCATTTACCGAACTTAATTATATTATCTCTCATCTTCACTCTCTCACCCACCTCGAAACCCAAACCCCATTTTCTTACATTCAGCGAAAGAGAACATGAAAGAAGAGATGGAGGGAATCACAGCCAGCGTGTGCAAGGGTTTGAAGGAGTACTGGAGGAGAAGGGGATACCAAAGGATAAATGGGTCGGGTCGGAGAAGGATGAATCGGGTGAAGCTAGGAAGCACGGGGACCCGAAAGGGTCGGTTCTGGAGGTGGAGGATTAAGCTGTCACCCAAGATCCGAATCCACAAAATCCCTTCGCCGAAGAAGTTGCTGGTGTGGGTGAGGGACGCGTACGTGAGGATGATGCTGGGTTTGGCGAACTCGCAGGTCATGACGATGAGTGCCTCGGCCTCCGGCTTCGGTGGCGGCGGAGACACCGCCATGGGTGTGTTCGGGAGGGCTCCACCTAAGGAGTATGATGAGAAGACGATCGTCCAGATCTACAAGTCCCTGTTAATCGCACATGGACACTTGGTGCCACTCGACGAAGCCAAAATCGCCTCTGTAATCGATTGCCGACGGTGACTGTAAGTATCATAACTGGCAAGTATCATAACTGAAATTCACTTACCGTCGTCACCTTCCTACAGTTGTCGTGTGTTACTTTCTTTCTATCCAATTTTTTTTTCATTTTTTTTTCTTTTTAGTATTATGTCTTGGACCGGTTTTATTTTTAATGTAATTCTATCAACTAGATTCTTCTAGCTTCCTATAAATTACATGTCAACATCACCGCAAAATATTGGCAAAAACTGTCTTCTACCAAAACAGCACTCTTTACTTTTCTTTTGCCAATCATGTAGACCCATGTAAAAAAAATAAATAAGAAATAAATAAATAAAACTTAATATTGGCTAGTGGTGTGATGATGTGATCAGTTTGATTTGGTTATATATTCAATTCTTATTATTTTATAAAAACACAAAACTATATTATGCTATATTAGACTCGACCACAGCGGGATTGATAATTTTACATTTATTTCCCTTTCCTGTTCTTATATTTACTTCTTCCAAAAAAAATTTATCATTTAATGCCTAATACTGCCAATATGTCCTTAGTGTCTAGTTTGAAGCAATCTTTTAAAAAATATATTAAAGCATTAGAAGATTAAGAAATAATAGTATCATTCATAATTAACTGTGGTCTTACGAAAGATTAAGTTTTTGAGTTGTGGTTCACGAGTGACTTTATAACTACCGATTATATAAAATTCCTTCAAATAATTTCAGTATTTTAATATATCCAGTGGTATATTAATTATCTGACAATTTTGATTCAAGAAGAGCTGCTCTTCTAATATTAATTTTTTTTTTCATTTTCAATACTCGAATAAGTTACTTCAAATAATTTCATCTACTTCTATTCTCTTGCGTACGTAACAAAGTACTTAGAAGTTAAGAAAGTCAAGTTGTAATCTATTAATGGTTCGTTTGGCACACCGTACTGAAAGTAATACAATAACTTAATACAAGACTTTATTTTATCAGCTATTTGATGCAAATATTGTCTTATATAAGCTTCTTTAGCAAAAAATAAAATAAAATATTATATATTAAAATAATAAATAACTTAATCAAATCTTTAAAGATGAAACTACACTTAATTGGATTTTAATGCATAAGTTCATTTAAATTTACATTACAATCCTAAACAACCTAATATCAGAAAGAAAAAGAAAAAGAAAAAGAAATAATTTTAAACTACTTTTATTCTTTACCATAACAAAGTACTCGAAAGTTGAGCAAGCCAAGCTGTAATCTCTTAACTTTCACATCTTGACTTTATTCTATGTGATAAACCCCTTGCGGGGTCTTCAATATTCTTACTCCTGCTGATTTGTTTTTTTTTTTTTCAAACCAACATGGTGCTACTTATCATCCTATTGTAATCTTTATTTGGGGTAATGTTCATATATTTTAATAATTAAGTTTATGTAAAATTATGTATTATTAATTTAATATTTATTTATTCATTTAAATATCGTGCATTTAATATTGCTGGTCATTTATTTAATACAAAATTAATTTATTTATCACACAACAAATTATTTTGTTGAAACTCAAGTCTATCGAGTTGATAATTCTTTTTTAAAACGAGTACCACCAAAAAAAAAAAAGCTTTAGAAAAAAGTTATGTGGAACTTTTCATTCGTTTTCTTATCATTTCGAGTTCTTACCCAATTTCAGACGATACTATACAACGTCAATCGGATTCAAGACACAGAATCAAATACTTTTTTTTTTTTTTTTTTGTAATAAGAATCAAATACTTTGTGTGCGTACAATCTATATTCTAAAAATCAATAAGAATGGTTTCAAAAAATAATAATTCAATAACAATTTTAATATACAATAAAATGGCTATAAAAAAAAAGGCTATAAAAAAAAATTACAATAAAACTACAACATTAGCCCGACAAAAATGGGATAGTCCGAAAGGGCAATTAAACACAATAAGATAAGTTCTTATACCGTCCCTTTCACCACTCACTTTGTCTTATGTGGAATTTCTTTTCATAAGGTATGATATTTTTACTATCAAATATTCCTATTATTAATCTACTATCATTTTTCAGTATTCCACTTTTTAGAAATTGAATCCCACTTTTTAGTAGATAATCTCTGAAAAATTTCTGAAAAAAAAAGATAAAAAAAAACAGCTTTGGATGTATTATAGGTAATACATAGTTATATTAGATTGATAGTAGATTAGTAATAGAAATATTTGGTAATAAGAATATTTTTTTTTTTATCTCCTTTATCTTCAACTAACTTCATTCATCACACTACACAAGAATTCTTACACGGAATACATGATGCCATCCTGTAGGTATTCAATCGCAGATACGATGATTTAAAGTTGTTAGTCCATAATATTCATTTCAATCAAACGAAAGATATATTACTAATTTTATACTATATTTTTTTAACATGCTCTCTCACATAAAAATTTATTGGATTTTAATGATAGACAATACATAGCCTTACCTACTTGTACTAAAAAATTTAATTAAATTATTTATTAATAGAATGGAAAGAAACAATAAGTAAAGTGTAGTGTAAATGTGTTTAGTCAAACTAGATTTTGATCTATATAAACCAAATCTATGTAAAATATTTGAGTCGGGCCTAAACTACTTGTCCATTATAAGTTAAATTATATACTTGCACTACAACAAAAATGCTCTTTAGCCACGGCAAAAGCTGTGGCAGAATATGATAAAAATCGTGGCTAAATGAGTTGTCCATTGTTTGAAAAACCGTGGCTAAAACAGGCGTTGCATTATTTTAACCACGGTGTTGTTTGCATTTAAGCACGGTCGGAATGAGTGTGGTAACATTGAATTAGCCACGGTTTGTGTTACATTAGCCACGTTATATTTGTGGCTAAACGATTTGGATCACTATAATCAGAAGTTTTATTTTGCCACAAACTGAACCGTGGCTAATTATAAGGAGTTTTTTAAAAAAATTATTACAAATTCTCCAATCATATAAAAAGAAAATAATAAAAATTACATTTGATGAAAGAACCAAAAACCAAATTAAGGAAGATACTAAAATAAAGTGGAGTATACAATTTTACAAATACAATTTTTTTTTCTACTTCATATAAGTAAATCATGTTTTCTATACAATTTCTCAAAATTCATATTTTTTTTTTTCATTCCATAGAAGCTGAAGGAGTTTCCTTTACCAACAGAAGGAGTTAATCAAGTTTTCCACTTAAATCATTTAAGAGAAATAATTCCCAAATAAAGCTAAAATTATAAGTTTGTGATTGTCACAAGTCATCTATACAAAATATTAACTCCATTGTTCAACTAAACAAAATATGACGACATATTTTTTAAATCTATCTTCCAATAATTGTTGTATGCATCCTATCCTTTTAAAAGGCTTATCAGCAAATCATACCTGTATAAAAAAAAAATTAAATAAGATATGCTAAAATATCACATAACTTTTCAATGTCAAGAAATTACTACTTTTTTTTTTGGGTGAGGATATTCTAACTACCAAAATTTCTTACTACTAACTTACTACCCATCACATCACCATTGGATCAAAGAGAGAGAATGTTAAAAAGCTTTTGAAGAGAGAGAAAATGTTAATCTAATAGTGATTAGATAGGTAGTAAGTTGGTAGTGTAAAATTTTGATAGTGAGAATATCCCTCATCTTTTTTTTTTAGATAAAATATGAACAAACCTTAAAAGCATTAATTCTGGTAAGAGGAGAATTATAAACCTCCATGCCAACCTATTAAAAAGTAAACCATCAAACAACAAAGTTGAAGGTGAAAGAACAACCTTGATATTGTTCTCCTTAGAAGATAACTAAAAACCGTAGATTTTCTGTGTAGATCTGATGAAACTAACTTCTTGCAGCACAAATTCACAGGATCAATATATATATATATATATATGTATATATATATATGCTAAAATAAAAAAGAAAATTTTATAAGAATATCATCAAATCCAACCAAAAAGCAAAAAATAAAATAAAAAATGACAAACACAGTGGGGAAAAAGAGGTAAGATATATACGAGGTAGAACAAGGTGGGATAAATTCTAATAGTTTCAAAAATTGGATAAAAAAATCCATCCTTAAAATTGGATAACACTTTCCAATAGAATTAATTACAGCTCACAACACCATTAGCATCATGTTTATTGCATAAAGTTTCATTAACTTGAGCATATTCAATCAATGGATTTATCATAAAGTAAAAAGTAGGCTAATAAATTCTAGAGTAAATACCCTTTTTAGTCCTCAGCAAATTTTATGAGACCCGTTTTAGTCCCTAGCAAGTAAAAAGGCCAATTGTGGTCCCTAAAAAATTCAAAATGGACCCATTTAATTAAAATCGTGATCCCTCACAAATTCAAAAAAGACCCATTTTAGTCCCTAAAAGGACTAAAATGGATCCATTTTGAATTTCTTAGGGACTACGATGGGCTTTTTTATTTGCTAGGGACTAAAGCGGGCAACATGAAATTTGTTGAGGACCAAAAATGATATTTACTCTAAATTCTATTGAAAAGAACAGGTAGAACAAGGAAGATATTTTTCTAAAGTGTACGATGCTTTTTGCATAATAATGATAACATGAGTTTGATAATTCTTTTTTAACTTGCTTTTTGCATTTTTAATATTATTTTATTCAACTCAAACAATACACCTAACATGCTAACAAAGATGACAACAGTACCATATTTCATTTAATCTCTATCTAAAACATGTATACTTCAAAATGGTCTGCAAGTGATATTGAATAATAATAATAATAAGAGTAAATACCCTTTTTCGTCCCTGGAAATATTTGCGAAGCACAATTTAGTCCCTCGGTTTAAAAAAGTCACATTTCAGTGTTTCATCTTTGAAAAAAAGGGCCACGTTCGTCCTTCCGTTAGTTGGCATCTAACGGCCCAACTAACGGTGCACACGTGGACCGTTACTTTGCTGAGTCACCGTTAAGTATGCCAGCTTGGAAGTAAAACGACGCCGTTTTGAAGGTGCCTTATGTCTTGTTGGAGTTTTGAACAGCTGAAAGTCCTATTTGGTCCTTAACACTAAAAAGTCACCATTGCAGCAAACCTTTCAAACCACCATTGCAGCAAACCAAGGCTTATGCTATTGGCAAGGCTTATGCTATTCGATCAGATTTCCCATTGGCCAAGGCTTATGCTCTGATTCAATAAAAAATGATGATGATAAAATGAAACTAAAGTCGAATAGAGTATTTGGTGAAGGAGAATTGCATTTTATCGCAGGAAAATCACATTGACTCAAATTATTGTACTTTTTCGTTAATGATTTGAACATCACAATCCACCACTAGCTGTTTGTGTCCAAAGAGGACGGGGAGCTCATCATATCGTGTACTCAACTTGCTCAAGTTTTGCATTGGCTGTGTAATAATGACAATAATATAAGAACCCACAATGAAACTTTTTTCCTCTATGAAGCAATATATTGTTTCATGCATCAGGGTTTAATTACAAAGGTTTCACTCTTACGACCTTTTAGAGGTATCACTTCTAAAGGAGTTCCTTG